CGGAGGCTGGGCGAAGTGGCGCCGCGCCCCCGCCAAAGCCCTCCCCCGCGCCCCGCCCGCGCGGCGCGAAGGTTCCGGGGTCGGGTCCCGCCGGCGCCCGCCCGGAGGGCTCGGCTCCGAACCCGTGAGGTTTTGTACCGGCTACTGCCTCGCCCGGGGCTTTTCAGAGAGACGCCGGGCGTTGGAATGGAAAACTGCTTTTGGGAAAGGTTTTTTTTTTCTGGTGTGTGGCGTGCCAAATAAAGGAGGGTCCACGAGTGAGCTCGGACCACTGAAATGGGACTGACTCAGACTTAAGGTCTTTTTGTTATTGTTTTTTTTTTCTTCCTAGGCTTCTGAGTCATATAATAGTTTAGAAAATAAAAATTTGCCTTTTCCTCTTCCTTTCTTAAAAAAAATTGCACTTATCAACGTGAATTTCTAGTCTCCCAGTATCTTTCATTTATTACTTTACGGAGTCCTTGGGATGGTGGACATTTAAATCCCGACGACCCTATTAGAACTATGATTGTCTCCATTTCCTGGGGGGGCGGGGGGTATAAAGGAACAATGGCAAAGCCTGAATTCAAATCACCTATAGATTCTTCACGAGTCTGTTCGAATGAATACGTTGCTGTATAGTATTTTTTTTAACGCCTTGACACCCCCACTCCCCTTGTCCTTTGAACAAAGGAAGGGTTCACTGCTAGTAAGACTTCCCTTGGCACCAGTAAAGAGCACTATGCTTGCTCCTTACTGCCCCATCCTTCATCACACTTGGAATTGTCTCCAAGGCTTTGCAGCAAATGACTCATCCCAAAAAGAGACACAGTTCAGTAATAATAGTACAACTTGGCATTCTCAAAGCACCTTTTTTTTTTTTTTCTGACCAGTTTTGGGTGCTTCTGAAACATCTCATTCATCTTCCCAGTAACTGATATAAGTAAATGATCCTTTTCAACCTTTAAGGAAACCAAGGCACAGTGAGGCTGAATGCCCTTGGCCAAAGCTCCCGATGAGAGTGCATTTTCATTGGCTTTTTCTCCTATCTCCTGATTCCCCAAGGCCATACGTCTCTGGTGGAACGGGGACTACAATTACTGCTATAATTTTCCTGTCCATCTGCATATACAGAAGGGGAAAAAATACCATTGCTGCAATGTTTTCTCTTTGGGGTTCTTTGTATTCTGCTCCCTCATTTCAGTCCTTATGACTTTTTGACATCTTATCTCCTGCCCAGTCTCTGAAAAATATGACTTTTTTTTTTTTAAATCAATGAATAGCTAGCAGGAAATCTCCCACATTAGCATCAGTGGTCACTGTCACAGCACAGCAAGAATAAGAAGAGCTGTTGACTCTCTATTCTGCTACCATTACAAATGTAAAAATCTCCCGAGTGCCACAGTAGCTTATGAATCTAGTGCTTGAGATCCTGCTGAGGGATTTGAATGTTTGCCTACCACCGAGAAGTCTATAAGTTGGCTGTGTGCTGTGCTAGGCTTTTATTTAGCTCTGGATCTTTTGATACTACAAGACGTGTTCTCAGAAATCACATCTCAAAAAGCAGTATAGATTAACTAATGTATCTTTAAAAATCACAACCAAGGGAATGCTTGGGGTTTGGGGAGGGAAGAAGAGGGGGAGGGCAAGAGAGAGATAGAGAGTTGTAATCTAGAATCTTTCTTTTTTGTTTTGTTTTGTTTTGTTTTTCGAGACAGGGTTTCTCTGTATATCTCTGGCTGTCCTGGAACTCACTCTGTAGACCAGGCTGGCCTCGAACTCAGAAATCCACCTGCCTCTGCCTCCCAAGTGCTGGGACTAAAGGCGTGCGCCACCACCGCCCGGCTAATCTAGAATCTTTCATTTATTTTTTGTTTGTTTATTTGTTTGGTTTGTTTGTTTGTTGAGACAGGATCTCACTGTATAGCCCTGGCTGTCCTGGAACTTGCTCTGTTGACCAGGCTAGCCTCTAAATCAAAGAGATTTGCCCGACTCTGCCTCCAGAGAGCTGGATCTAAAGGTGTACACTACCACTCCTTGTGTAATCTAGACTCTTAAGAATAATTCTCTGTGTCCTGACGTTTAGGGAAAGCAGCAAATACAAAAGTTAATGATGTGTATACAAAGCAAGACAGGCTTTGATTGGGGTAAATGATAGCCCATATGACCTTCAGAGCCAGTGAAAGCAGCTCCATACATTACAATGTTGAGTGCTCTAAGTAATGTCTCATCGGTAATGGGTACAATTTTTACTTTCTTAAAACCTCCCTGAAATGCCCTTTCCTTAGGGCCGCACTTTTTATCAGGTCTGTTTGATCATGTCTTTCCTATTGCTGACTCTCCTCAAGCTTGAGTCAGCCCTGGGCTCGGCAGAGAGTTTAATTTTCTTCCTGATGCCTCAACCCCTCCATGGAGTTATTACCCAATAACGTATCCTTTTATCACCTTACACCTCTGCAGAACTGAGTCACACCTAAACTCATATCCAATGTCTGCTTTTTATTATCTGTTTTATATATTTCCAGCCTGTGAGACGATCTGATTTCTTCTTTCATGATTCTGTCTTTGGAGAAGAACCATCCTGTGACTGTCACTTCCTCAAAAGAAGAGGGTGCTCAAGGGTCCTGAGGAAAGGGCCAGTGACATGACCTGAGTTAAATTACCGGGAACCCACGTGCTGAGATGGGACAATAAGCTCCTCAAGGTCCTCCAACCTCCACACATGCTCTGACAGCCCCACTTCCCATATATGTGTGTGTGTGTGTGCGTGCGTGTGTGTTCGAACTGAAAATAACCACCCTCCTCATACACAGAGGACAATCCTTGATCTAATGAACCCACAGCTCAAAGCACAAGAACACAGCACGGGAGTGTAGGAGAAAAGTCCAAACCCAAGATTGCTTCCTAAAATATTTGAAAGGAAATAAAACAAGGTGACACCTTAGAAAACAACAGATCCGCAGGGCAGTGGTGGCGCATGCCTTTAATCCCAGCACTTGGGAGGCAGAGGCAGGGGGATTTCTGAGTTCGAGGCCAGCCTGGTCTACAGAGTGAGTTCCAGGACAGCCAGGGCTATACAGAGAAACCCTGTCTCGAAAAACCAAAAAAAAAAAAAAGAAAAGAAAGAAAGAAAAGAAAATGTAGGAAGAAAGGGTGGAGCCTGAAAGTCTGAGTCAGTAAAGAACAGGAAGATCCGCAAACTGATTTATTGGAGGTGGTTTTTTTTTTTCCTAAGAAGCCAACTGATCGGAGGTGGGTTTATTGGTCAGTTAGTTCTGTTTTTTGTTTTGTTTTGTTTTGTTTTGTTTTGTTTTGTTTTGTTTTGTTTTGTTTTGTTTTGTTTTGTAGCATGCATAAAACTCTAGGTTCAAGTCCCAGCACTCAAAAAGCTAGTAGCAATGGGGCATCCCTGTAATCCTAGCCCCTGCTGGTAGAGGCAGAAGAATCAGGAATTCAAAAGAGATGAGGGAAGGGGGGGACAGATGATTCTGAATTTAGAAGTTCAAGTCATCCTTGGCCATGTAGAGAATTCAGTTCATCCCTAGCCAGCCAGGGATGATGAAGGGCTTGTTCCAGAAAATAAATTAGTAAATAAATAACCCAATAACAGAGTTACAGATACAATTATTTCACTAATCTAAAAACCATAAGTAGGATCCTTAGTAGGTGCCAGCAATCTTGCTGGGTAATGGGGATTAAAAGGGAAGGGAAAGGGGAAGGGGGCAGTGCTGGAGGGATGAGGGTATTTGCTGCTTTTCCAGAGGACTTGAATTTGATTCCCAGTTCCCCTTTAGCAGCTCAAAATTGTCTGCAACTCCATTAACAGATCTGGTGCCCTCTTCTGCCCTCTTCAGGTACCAGGCATTCACATGTTGCACTGACATACGATGAAACATACGCACGCAGGCATGCACGCACACATGCACACACTTACATTAAAAAATTAAAAAGGTAGAAATAGTGGTGTACCCCTTTAAACAAACACTTGGAAAGCAGGGTCTCCGATTTTGAGGCCAGCCTTGTCTACATGGCAAGTTCCAGACCAGCCAGGGCAAAACAGTGAGTCCCTGTCTGAAAAGAACAACAACACAAAGCTGTAGTTCAGTGGTTGAGATTTTTAAAATTTATTTATTTTCATTTTATTATTATTAAGTTTTTGGGGGGTTGTTTTAAGTCAGGGTCTCACTCTGTAACTTTGACTGGCTTTGAACTTGAAATGATCCTCTCTCTTTAGCTTCCTGAATGATGATGGAGAGTATCTTCAAAAATTGTGTGTGGTGACACAGATCTGCAATGGTAGCATCTTAATCTTAGAGGCAGAAAGGATCAGAAGTTCAGGCAAGTACAGGCTAGCCTGGGCTACTGTCTCAGTCACTATTCTACTGCTGTGAAGAGACACCATGACCATGGAAACTCTTATAAAAAGAACACCTTCAACTGGGACTTGTTTATGGTTTCAGAGGTTTGGTTCTTTATCATGGCTGGGAGCATGGCAGCACAGGCTGGAAAGGTAGCTGAGAGTTCTATATCTGGACCTGCAGGCAGCGGGAAGAGAGAGCCTCAGGCTCTGGCTTAAGATGTTGA